CTATGAAAGACTATTCCGATTCAGGAGGCCATGATGCGTATGTCATATATCAGGACTTAGGTTGAGTTTTTGCATCTATACGGCCCACGACGATGTCAGGCACAACTTAATCTATTGTGGTGTTTACGCTGATGCGGCGTTTCTGTGTAATTTTAATTTTTTCCCCGCTATTTTTCTAGAGTGCGGCATTTACGCTGATGCGGACTTTCTTCCAGAAATTACGGTATTTAGAATAGAAATATTTCTGAAAATTAAAATGCAAAAAAGCTTTTATATTTATGATTTAGTACTTACATGTTCTCAAGAAATACTTCCCTTAGAGTATTAAATACGATATAATTTTAAGAGAAGTTCCTTGTTTGTTAAAGCTGAACAAAATCTGGTATATTTTTAAGGGAAAAATACAAACAAATGCAAAACTGCTGCCCTTTTAAATGTAATTAAGCATTAAAAAGGCAAAGGTAGGACATTTTTTTAGTCATATACACGATGCTTTGTGTCAGTTTAGTTCTCTTGTCACCTATTGCTGTGGGTACATACAGAGCAATGGAAAGAAAACCTAAACCCACTATCACCAGAAATAAAACTGAAAATTTTCACCAAGTAATAGAAAAAGGAGAATGGAAAGAGAAGCTGATAGCCTTGATAAATTATTACAGCATGCTGTTGACATTAAACATGAAAAGGAACTCAAATGTATTGCAGTTGTATATTATACTTGGAGATGAAAATGGATATGCAAGGATCACTGTTCCTTAATTTTATACTAATAACACTTTTCTTACCTTGGTCTACATTTAAAACTACACACATTTCATATTCTTTTTTGGGGTAAATAGTTTAGTATTTTTTTAAGATAATTTAAATGTTGCAATAAAATGTGCTGCTCAAAGCAGATCCAGTCAATTAAAATCCTATAATTGATTTTAAATGTATTTAAAGAGCAAAAGTAACATAGAGTTAAGTTTAAGAAAATGATTTTATTAATTTGCCAACTAAAATGCATATACACAAATAACTATCCTCTAAACTGAAAATTCATGAAAGTAATGAACTTCATTTCCCTAGCAAATGTAAAATTGCACTTCTACATAAGTAGGTACTCTTGGATAACTTAGGGTTGATGATACAAGAGCTATAACAGCAAACCAATGAATTCAGAACACAGATTTAAATCCTCAACATTTATATTCATTAACTATATTTGAGATGAACAGCAAGTAAAAAGTGTTACATTTTAAATGTTAGGTGTTATATTTGTGTTTTATGCCTTAATATTCACTACATTCATATTTTATGTTTCATTTAGCTTTATGCAAAATGACTCTAAATTTTATTTTGCGCTAAACAATGGTAACTATACAGTCCAAAGTCGTTAATCCGGACTCGTCGGGACTTCGGTGATTCCGGATTATAGATCATCAGTTTACATCTGGTAAGATGGCACGGAGAAATTACAAAATTAAAATATGAAACAGTAATTATGAAATAAAGAAAATTATATCTAAAGGGTATAAAAATTTAAAAAAAAACAACACAACAAAAACAAACAAAAGCTGAATTCTTTGTTACTTTACTTTCTCGCATCGGAGGAATATAATAAGGATTTGATTAATATATCAAAGACAGTACATCGAGAGAACTACTACATTAGTAAGGAATTATACGCCAATTAAATAAAATCATCTGCCGTGAAGATAAGGATAGTGCTGACAGATAACTCCCAATTCTTGCGCGCCGCGGGTCCCCTGCCGCAGAGCAGCGTGAAATGATAAACAGATTCAGAATGGGTTAGATAAACAAAGGATATGCCTTTATCCATTTTACAGCAATTCCACTTTTTGTTAATGAACTTCGAAACATACTTTCGCTTGTAGATCCTTTACATATTAGTAAATATAATCGGAAATTCTATTTGACATAATCGAAAGTTCAAGATTACTTTATAAAATTGCTCTAACAGTCTGCAAAAAAATAATAAGCTGGATCCAATTCGAAGATTAGGAACATGGAATTATTAACTGCAACATTAACTGAATTCGATAATTTAGCTAGTAATACCGTTGGTATTAAACGTGCATGCGTAAACGTCTTTGGGCATGCGCACACGCATATTCGCAGCCGTAAAGGTCTTCGCAGTCGTAAAGGTCAACGCGACACATGCGTAGAAAGTTTGTAGCTTTGAGGTTCGGATTATAGATCATTCTGGATTATGGGTGTCCAAATTAACGACTTTTGAGTGTATTTAAAATTTCATAATTAAGAATATATACAGCTTTTAGATAACACAAAGATGTATTATTACTTTACGAATTATGGTTCGTACAAAAGAATAATAAGACATTTTTAAAACTCTACCTTGCACTAGAACAAGACCTTTTTGTGCCCAAAAGTGTGTCTATAAAATTCACAGAAGTAACTTTTCTTACTTTTGAAAAATTTGCTTTTCAAATAATGAAGCATATTTGTAAATCAATGCCGAAATTTTGATCATTATTCTATGACAAATTTGGTAAAAGGTGCTTTAAATTTTACAGATATAATTTTATTATCAAAATTATTTCCATTTGATATTTACACTTCACATAAGTGGCTCCTTTATTATGTTAGATAGGGTATAAGTATACTCATTAATAATCAGTTTAATAATAAGGTAACTGTGTTCAGTTTTTAAATGCTTATAAGTTTCTGTATACAGAAAGAAAAATAATTTTCATTGACCCCCCCGAAAAAAAAAAGATGCCTGCCAAATACCTTTACTCAGAGTACAAAATAATATATCAAATTCTAATTTTATTTTTTAAAAATTTTAATGGATTTTGAAAAAAAGTTACAAAAATTGACATAAAATTAAAGTCACAAATCCTCATATGGCATTTACAGAGGAAAAGAAATCTCTTCCCTCCCGTGCTGAAGATGAGGATACTTTTAATTACAAATTCTAAACCTTTAATTTTCATTACTGCCACCAAGACAGAAAAGTGGTTAGTAACTCTGACTGCTATACCAAAGTGCCTGGGTTCGAACCCTGCATGGATGTAATTTGTCTGTTCTTTCATAGGAGGCATCAGCAGCCCACCTATTAGCTGCCTCCATAATAAAGAGACCACCACTTCTGGTCTTAGTAATGACCAACGCCTATAAACAACTAGAGCTCACCATTCGAGGAAGTGTTTTCATCACATATGATGCAGAAACTTTAAAAAACAATATTCTTCTTTTACACTTTTCTGGTTATTAAATCTTTCATAATACAATACCTCTTATCCACTCTAAAAATATTTTCTATGAAATGCTATGTCTTATCAAGATCACAGTTAGGTTAAAGATTTAACTATTGATTAATAATGATAGATAAAATAGAAATGTAGTAGAAGCATGGTCTCACAGTCTGTTTCTTAGCAACAGAAAGAAAGAAGGAGAAACACTATTCTCATACGTAAGATATTTCTTCAGACACACTTCTCAAAATTTCATAATGATAAATTTTTAGAACTTATTACTTTTAGTAGTTTCATGAAAAATTTTAAAAATTATCTGATACTCTCTAATAGCTTATCCTCCTCCTGCTAAAATTATACTCAGACTTTCAATTAAAGGTGAATTAGAATGTTGCAAAGTCTTCTACACTAGCCAAAATCTTTTATCTCCAGCTAATACTTTTAATTATAATCTCAAAAATTTGTTTTTCTCTTTCTCAATCTCAACAGGTGGTAGTATATGCTTGCATAGAGCACTTGCTTCTGATGAAGAAAGATCCCTATTAGAACGTCTCTTATATTAAAGATCCTTTTCACTTTAAATTAGCACTTAATATCAATGAAGTTTGCCTAACCTAAAAATCAAGTAGTGAATATTTTTCTTAATTATTATTTTTTTTTCCCAGAATACTTCTATTGATTAAAAAAGGATGAACCAATTCTGAATAGCAAACTTTTCTTAAATGAAAAAAAGGATTGGTATACATTAAAATCACTGGAATTTTACAGGAAATACCAACTTTCTTTTACTGCTCTTACCCATTCTAAAGCCATTTTCATCAAGGTTTTTAAACTGTGAATTATAACTGCAGCATTCTTGCTTACAACTAAGTTAAACATACCTTCTTCAAGAACAGATAATTGTCGATAACGATGTAGTTCTAAAAAAATTAACAGCATAATGAGTTTAACTGGATCTTTTCTAATTCCTTATTCTCAAACTAGTCTTAATTCGCAATAGATTAGTAATGTGAAAAGATAAAATTTAGTTTATATGCATTAGAAGCTAGAAGATATACCAGAGAGCTAAAAGACGACACATTGAAAATGAATAGTAAATATGAAGTGGTCTTTACAAAAAGAAATTATTAAGCCTAAATCAAAGTTCCACTTACAAATGCTTATAAATTTTATGTGTAATTATAAATAAATATGAAAAATTTTGAAATTATACCTGGAAACCTGATTATAATTCCAGATAGTTATACTGCAAAATCATTGCACCCTTTTGAATTATGATGAAATTTTACCCAAAAACTAAATACTTCCAAAAAATAAAATATGAAGAACCTCATTCATAGAACATTCTTATATTAAAGAATATTATTCAATGAACACCAGGGTATTCTAGGCATTGAAAAAGAAAAATATATTAACATTTTTAGTCTTTGTCAAACGATATTTACAATAAACTTACAAATATGCAATTAGGTTGCAATGGTGCAACATGCAGTAAAATAAATTTTAACTTCTTAAAATCTTTAAAATATAAATGAAAAAAAAAAAAAAAAAAAAAAAAAAGGAAGAAACAAACAAAGAAGAATAAAAGTTATGCAGTAGATCAGAAGCACATATCAGCTACAAGTCTCAGAAGGACTTTTTTTTAACATAAACTCAAAATGAAAACAAGGATGAACCAAAGGACAGTTTTCATACAGACAATACATACGTGGTGAATTCACAAAATCAAAAGACTAAAAATATACTCAAACTACGTATCAGAGGTCAGAAATATTTTACCATTGCCACTCCATATTCGAAATGTATTTTCCCAGTCTTTAAAGCCATGTTGAGGTATAGACCACACCACTTGGAAAGCAAAAAAGGGAGAACAAATATTGTAAAGGAAACTACTTTTTTGTTTTTTCTACAGCATAGTATGTTAATGATGAAACATAAATCAGAGAACACTTCTAATTACTACTCAATGAGATAAAACTCAGTACTTAAAATGTCTGGTGAGTATGTTATGTAACAGATGCATAAATATGAAAACTAAGAATTTACAGCAACCAAAACTTATCAAACTGAGAAACTAAGAAATAAAACCTTTCATTGCCCATTTAAACCCCATTACTAAATTTAAAAAAATTAAATTAAAAAATTTCCACAATTTTTAAATTATATATAAAATAATAATGCTCAGAAAAATAGTTAATTCCTTCATGTGGAAAGTCTAACAATTATTTTCATAAATATCAATGCAATAGTAAACAATGAAATGAAAATGACTATTACGAATTAATAAAAATGCCACAAGAGTCCAGCTTTTAGAAGTTTATCAATAAATAATTTTAACAGATAAAACAGCATGAAAAGTGATAATAATCATCAGGGGAAATTGAAAAAAGAACAATAAGACTATTGTATTGAAAATAACATCAGAATCACATCGAGATGTGAAGGAAGTGATTTTTCCATTCAAAGATGTAGCCATTTTGTATTTGATACACACAGGCATTAAATCAGTACAGCTGAGACAAGTATAATCAACCCACGTTGTAACATAAGCTTCCACTCTCTGGCACACCTTTACACAAATGTCAAATACTGCTTTACAAAATGCTACTCCATCCACTGTGAATTTCAAATACAACTCAACAATGGCTCTTGTAGCAAGTTGTACATAGGAAAAGTCTCTTCATATCCAATTCTACATATCAAATGGTTAGATCTAGTGAATTTGATAGACTAGAAAAGTTGACAGTTTGTCAGCATAATTTGTTGCCCACCATAAAGCAGTTATGATGCAATTGCATAACAATAATGCCTTTCCTACTTCATGCAAAAAGGACAGTAAGATAGGCCTAATATCAGTATTCCTTTCACTTGAGACTTTGAAAAGAATCTGTGACATTTACCAAATTTGATTATGAATCAAAATTTATGGTATCTCCCAGATGGAAAATCTGACATTAGTTTTGAAGATTCTGCCATATCTATGACATTTAATATCCATTACTATGCCCTACATTATATTTCATCACTGAATAATACAACATTCTGTCCTCTAGTGAGTATGACAATATCACAACCATTCTCAGCAGCAATGAAGCGACAATGGTAATTAATCTGTTTAACAGCACATGTGGTCTTAGTTAATTTTTTCACGTAGCAATTCTTCATAGCTATTTTATGCATTGCTGGATCAACCAAAGTTCTATAATCTGGATTGCCATTCCCATTCTGTTCCATAAAGCAATCTTTCACATAACTAATCTGTATGTTCAGCCATCCATCTCATTTGCCTACAACTTTCTTTTTCTCATTTTTCCCATATTCCAGATTTAAGGCCAATAAAAGTGGATACCTGCCATTTCATTTAGTATGCAATATGAAAAATGTATCATTCATCCCTATGAGTCACAATGAGATTCCTCTCCAACTCTCCAAAGAAGTAAAAAGGCACAATAAGCAAGTCTTCTTCCCCTAAACATAAATTCCATTATGATAAATGTCTAAAAATGAAAAGTAAATGATATTTCTAAATTACTTATATCTGAAAATACTGTAAATATTTTAGTATGCATCATATTCTAAGTTAATTCTAACTTGCAAACTCTGCTAAAGATCTTCAAAACTTTAATGATGACATATGCTATTCATTCTAAAACTTTTGCACAGATACTTTTTAGGTTCTTTTTTCATTTTCCACCAGTGTAGATCACATAACCCACAGTAATCCAACCTTATTCTGTGAAGGAATACTTAAAAGGTTTGTTCAAAAGTCACAGCCTGAAAGTTGTCATGTATTCCGAAAGAAAAAAATCATAAAAATATCGCCAAATTAAACATTACAAATTTGTACACTATATTAGTTATTTTCTACAATAAATATAATGGAAGTAAAAAAAAAAGAGAACAGTAAAACTAAATGTTATACATTTACATCCATGATATTAATTTTCCAAAGGCTTTTGTTGTTTTGTATGTTTTGTTTAAAAATTTCTGAAATTAAAAAAATTCCAAATAACCATAAGCTAGCTGGGGTATACTTGACAACAGAGGAAAGGAATAATCTAGTTTCGATTTATTAAGAACAATTTACATTTAAACTTTTAAACCAATACTTTAATCACAAAGAAAAATTAAATGATTAACATTTACTTAACATTTTAACTGATTTTGATAATGTGTATGTATGTATGTATACAGAGAAAAACTTAGAAAAATATATGACTAGTTTTCTAACAAGTAAAATAACTTGTATAATTCTATTTTACTCTTTGTTAGTAAAACTGATTTATATGGCATTCATTTTAGGAAATTATAAGCAGAAACATTTCAGAATGTGTTTTAAGATTAAGCTAATTAAAAGCAACTGAAATGTTATGAACAACTGATAAAAGAAATGCAACTAATTTAGGGGTTTTGTTTTTAGCATTTACATAAGAACTGAAATTACACCACTGAAAAATTAATAAAATATAAATAAATAAACTACAATAATTAATTTTTCCATATTGGGAGAAAAACTGCCAGAGTAGAAGATTAGGTTAAAATTTTATTATTTACACACCAGTTTAAAGAATATATCATGTTCATCTTTTCTGTTCAATAGCGTGCATATTCAAGAAAGGGAAAAAATATCACTAATTAACTTTGGATCATCGGGTTATTTGGAACTATGGCAAAGCACTTGAAGGTCAGCTCCCTAAATTTCCTTTAAAAATTTATATGACAACATACTACAGCATAGTTACTTGGGCAGTCATTTAGTGAATAGTAAATTACAGATTTATCTCTTACATCTCTTAAAATTAGAGTGTGCATATGGCCTACTTTAATTGCACATATTTTCACAGTACGTTTTGAAACAGTTCATTTTAAATTTTACTATTGTTTGTTTCAAAATTCATCAGGATTAATGCGTATTCAAAACACTGAAAAATATTATTTTAGAAACAAACATCCTACCAACCATTTACAAACAGAACAATTATTAACATATATTTTATACATAATTAAAGTATAAAAGCTACAGCAAAAATTAGTTTTCTTTTTAATGTATAATTTAAAGGAATTCCCTATCATAAAGAATAAATACATACATATATATATATTTCCATAGATTAATTTAAAAAGCCTCTTTTTAAATTAATATTTCATCACAAAATGATTATTAAACCACTTCTTGAGCTAAAAGAAATTAACAATGCATTGTGAGAAAGCAACAACCAGTCAATACTTTGGTACTTTCTGATTATCTGCACCACCCCCTCACCGAAAGTCGCCAAAAAGTATTCATGAGCTAACACAGTATGTCGTACCCATACACACAGTATATCATCATATACCTCTTTTGTCTTGTAGCAACCCAGGATGTCGGCCAAAAATATTTGTATGCGAATCCACGAATCACATAGCACATGTCTATTTTGGCCGGTGAGCAATGCCGATGTTGTACGATCCCAAGTTTGTGCACTTCTTTGATTTTTTTAAGCAAAAAAGATCGCTGTGTCCATAAGGATACCAACAGTGCAAATAAAAGAAGGATTTCTAGAAACTGGTCAGTGTTTCTTGCTTCTTAAATTTTATTGATTGGAATTCTTAGCATGCAGCAATTTTGAAATTCATTGTTGCCTTCTGCTCATTTAACTGGGCGAAAACTTTAGTTGCAATGAGTTTGCGACATTTCAATGGGGCTGCAGGTAATCAGAAAGTACCAAAACTTTTACATGTTCTAGGAGTTTTACAAAATCTATGTATAGCATGAAATATGTATTTCTTTAAATTTCTTGGCTAACGCCAAAATCGTCAGCTTGAATTGACATTTTTCAATCAAAAATTAATGCCACATTTAGACTTTTTCATTAATTTTATGACAAAAGCAGCTATTCAAGAGGTTTCCGCAAGTGAAGTACGAATATTTATTTTGCCATGTCAAGAAATTCGTATAGTTATGCAGGCTAGTGCCACTCTGGTTGCCTAGACATTAATTTGGTAGTGACACCTATTGATGGAAAACGAAAACGCTAATAACTACTACTACTTTCACTTCACTCATCGCATAGCAACAAATAAAAAGAAATTAAAAATATATATTCTAGAGATAATGAAGTGTTGAAAAAACTGTACTCAACAAGAAATTGTCTTTTTTAGAAAAAATGTAAAAATCGAGTGAGAAAAATAAAGATGTTATAAAACAAATATTTCTCCCCCCCTTTTTAATTTTATAAAAAAGAACTAAAAAAAATTTGCAAGAGGCAACAGTTAAAACATTTTTTTGGTGTGTTAAAAAAATAGAAGAGAAAAAGAGGACTGTAAGAATTTTTGCAGAAGTAAAACTGAAAATGCATGGAAATTTTAATACACATACTGGCCAGTGAATTAGAAACCCTAGTACAGTATTTTATTGGACCACCCTGTGCATGAATAACTGCTCTGATTTGTTTGGGTATTAAATCTACTTGCTTCTGGAGTGCATTTACACCCAGAGAATACCATGCATTGGGTATGCAACTTTTTAGATCTTGTAAATTAGATGGAAGAGGAGAGTACTGTCGGATGTGTCTTTCTACCATATCCTACACATTTTCTATGGGATTAAGATCCGGGCTATGCGATGGCCTAGGAAGGTGTTGGAAGTCAGACTGATGCTCAGCAAACCAATTTTGAACATTTTTGTCACAATATAGAGTTTCCTTATCGTCCATGAAGTATGTGTCGCTATGAAAGTACAAATGCAACATTGCAGAGTGCACTTGATCCACCAGTATATCTATCTCACGCCTGCTTGTTTACCCTCGAGGAATAGCAAGGTACTACTTCCATGCCAGAAGAACATGTACATCTGTGCATGGTTTTCT